ACTAACTTCCCTCAAAGTGACTCTGAGTGTTTTGGTCCAACTCACCTTCAGTGTGAGCAGCTTGAAGCAGCAGAGCTGGAGGTTTCCACTTTTCCCTCCTGCAGCTGGACTCACTCAGAGGAAGCTGCTAGTTTGGTCTGAAGGTGAATCTGATCGACTCTCTGCAGGAACCAACGATCAGAAACTGATTCCTGCTTTGGTTCAGCTCCAACTGATTTTTTATTCCAAAATCTGGAATTCAACCTTTGAGCTGCTATAAAACTCACTAACAGGTTTCATTTTTCTCAGATCAGAACAGAACCTCTAATGAAGATAGTAGATTAAACTGTTCTCAGCTGTTAAATTCTTACTGAACACTTTTTATTCAAGAACAGTTGGACTAACTGCATGTTGCTCCTCTTCCTTTTTTTGCCTTTTCTGTCCCTCAGTTACTTCAACACAATCCTTCATATTTACAAGCATGAACCACAAGACTACTTGTCATTTAGTGATTTAATCAGAGTTAAAGATTACACATTTACAGTTTGAAGCTTGATATTAATCTTTAAAGATTCTGTCAAAGCAGGAAGTTTTCCTCACCACCTTGCATTGTGGTTTATTCCTATTTGACATGTTCAGAAAACAATCATTTTCAGCAACAAGCAGACAAATTTAAGTTCCAAACAGTAAATCATCATCCAGACATTAAATTACTTTCTGCTTAAGATTGGATCCAAAAACTCTTCATGTGTTTTAAATTCACTTTCTGCTTTGACATCAGTGGAAACACAGACTGATTTATTCTGTTTTAGAAATAAATCTGAGATATTTGGGTTTCTGACCACAGGACAGAAACCTGTGGTGAAAACTTTAGTTTCCTAAAATTTTCATTTTGAGGTGGAGACACTCTCCTCTGACGTGGAAAACTGTTCCATCTTTGTCCAGCAGGAGGCGCCACAATCCACTGTGAGGAGGATTTGACGTAATTTAGATTTAAAGCGCTTTTGATTAAACAAAACTACACTGGTTTGATTTTAGAGCAGAAACTTTCAGAAAATAAAATCCCAGTCCTCCAGCTGTGAGGCTCTGCAGAATGCTCCAGAGTTTTTTATTAAACCCTTTTAATGCACAGAGATGAGATTAATGTGTCTCTTTGTTTGACCTCAACACGTAGAAAACTCGTCTGAATGAAGGTCCATCTAATGAAGAAATAATAAAATATGGATGTTATCATTTTGACCATTTGAAATGCAATAAAACCATTTTGCTGCTTCTTGATTGAAACTTTTTCCTTCTTTTCCCCTCAGAAGACGACCCGGTCTGTACAGAACCGGGTCATGTCTATGACCCGGTTCTGTACAACAGGAACTTTGTGTTTTTAAGCTCAGTTCCTACCTAATGCTTTCACTTTGTTGAAAAGCTTCATCGGATCTAAATGTGCTCCGGGTCGCTCCGGGACCAGAACTGGGTCATAACCAGGCCTGATTAGCAGGATCCCAGGTGACGCTGTGGCTTCTGGGTCACGAAGAGGTCAAATCCTCAGGAGGCTCAGCGGGTCAGAACCTTAAAAGACTCAAATAAAATTAATAAAATGTGTCGCATTGTGACCAATAAAGAAATTAAATGATTGTTTTTTTGTCAAAATGTATGAACTTTTCTGTTTCTAAAACAGAATAAAAAATACCTTAAAGCAGAGGTTCCCAAACTGTGGGGCGCGCCCCCTAGTGGGGGCGCCGTGCCATTGCAGGGGGGCACGGGAAGCCGTCTGGATGGATGGAAAAAAAAAACGTGAACGTTGTATGCGCTGTGTTTTTACCTTAAAATGGAAAACTCTCCTATTCCTCTGTTAATTTGATATAGTAGGGGCTTCCGTACTTCCCATATCTATTTTAGTAAAATATCCATCTATTTTACTTGGCTTTCAACTCTAGTGGGATCTAGTTTTAAATTGTATGTTTTTGTTTTTAAACTGTAAGTTTTTATTTTATTTTTTTATTGTTATGTTGTGTTTTGATGTACAGCACTTTGTATCAGCTGTGGTTGTTTTAAAGTGCTTTATAAATAAAGTTGGTATGGTATGGTATGGTATCTGTGTCCTCTGTCACTTTTATCAGCAGTTAAAACTGTTTAATCCGTTGTTAACATGTTGTAACCTGTTTTTCCGAGCCGCCTTTAAACGCAACATGAGCACTACGACGCTGGCGCTGGGTTTACACCTGTGAAGGAGACCTGCTGCTGCTGGGCGGAGCTACGTAGGTTTGTGTTAGAATCACGGCAGCTAACCAGCAAAACGCAAAGAACTTTTCACAGTTTTTCCCTCCAAACTAACAGCCTGAGTTCAGTAAAGCTGTTGGATGCAGGTAATGTTAGCTAAAAGATGACTAGCTAATATCAATACAGAACCTTAAGCTTAACAAGTAGCCTGTAGGCTCCTGGTGTTGTTGTCTATGTCCAGCTACATACATTCATTTTGCCCCCAAAAGAAGTCGATTTCCCCCCACCCCGCTCATTCTTAGAGACAGGGAGTCTTT